TCTTGTTAAAACATGTTCATTGGATAATGCATCTGATAGATTTCTAAAAGAAAAAGAAAATTAGTAAAGGAAAACAAGCGAACATTGTACTACTTACTTCTTTACTTTTGCCAATTTCTTTGCTATATTTCTTTTCTTTTCTTCTTTTTCACTTTTTCTTGTTTTTTCTTCTTCTTCTTCTTCTTCTTCGTCTGCTTCTTCGTCATTTTCTTTGTTATCATCATCATCATCATCTTCTTCTTCTTCTTCTTCTTCTTCTTTTTCCTTTTTTGTTTCTAGAATTGAAGAACAGATTTGAACATACTGGTCATCAGCTTTTGTCTTCTTACCATCTTGTTTACCGACAATAATTAATCCATTTCTAAAAAACAAAGATATTAGCAAATGAACTATTATTATCATTGAAAGTGTTTCTTACATTGAGTTCATGTACTTTAGCACACGACCTCGGGATATATAAGCCGATTTGTTTAAATCGGCAACACACAACTTAATTGGGTAATACAATTTACCCGTTGTCTGATAATGTTGTAGATAGGTTTCTACAAATAAATTGGCTTCTTGTGCATATGTGTACAAGACCAATTTTTTATCTACAGAAAAAACAAAACAAAGTTAAAAGTACAGTTAACAGGCCATACTGCGAACAGGGATCCCAGATCTTCTGAATCTGGCAGATAAATTCTGGTTGCTTAACCTTTTTCTGCCTCGTTTCTGCATTTTTGTATAAAAAAACAAGGCTTTCTGATTTTGAAAGTGTTTTTTCTGATTTTCACATAATCTAATATCTCTTATTGCAAATATTGTTAGTTTCACAGTATAAAACAGCCCAAAATACTCAATTACAAAAGTAGAAATGCACTGTGCTTACCTAATGCAGGATTTTCCTGCATTTTCAGCACGCCCATTTCCTCCACCCAATAAACCCGATCCCCCCGTGCTTTTTTCATCATTTTCGTTGTTTTGCCCACATCCGGGCCTAAAAATAGACGAGAAAAACACAACGATTACAAAAGAATAAGATTTGCAGTAAGTGATTTACCAGCAGCAACAAATTCTTTCACTTCCACTTGTTTATTGCGATTCACAACGGGATAGTCGTCAGGAAGTCCTTGTTTATTCCCAATTTGTTGTTTCATAATATAATCTTTTAGACCAGCTAAACAGTAGAAATGAACAAAATTACGACAGTAAATATTGACAGAAAAGACAAACGTACCTAGATCTTTCACTGATTGATGTATAGTGTATAAATGCTGCATATTGAACTATTGGATATTGAATTATTAAAATTATTGAAGAAGTATTGAAATTGTTGAATTATTAAAATTATTGAACTATTAAAACTATCTGAAAGATAAATGTGAGCATGAGAAAAGACGTGCACAGTTACAGAAATAGAGTAAATAAGAAACATTGAGGACAGATTCCAGTACTTCAACAAACGTTCCTTTAATGTGCTCTGTGCATTTTGCACAACTAAGTTCTCTAGACTTTTCAGCAAAAAAAGGGCATCCTTTCCTGGAGTTCTTGCATCGGCATAACTAATGAGAGCACTTGCAACATAAGAGGATGTAGACACAGAGAAACTGTCCAGAAAGAGTAACCTTTTTTTCTCTCTAAGGTCATCTAACACAATTATTATTGTATGGGTTCAAGCTTTTCTCGTTTAGGAACTCTTGGAAAAATAAAGATCTTTCTTTTCTCCTAAACAGCGCGACCTTTAGCAGAGTATGGGCAAATGCCAACATACTCTAGCAGTTCTTTCTGGCGCAGGGTCAGACTCCCACCAGCAGTTCGATTTCCACAGTCTCGTGAATTGAACGCAAATCAAACCATCAGTTCCCATCCTGCATTACTCGAAAAGATTAGAGATCTATTCCGTTATTTTGATAGGCCGCATCAGCAGATTCGTCTTCCCTCTTTTCGGTCGTTTTTTGGATCATTTATTGTATTTCATGGACACGACCAATAGAAAAGGTCCTGATGGTCCGTACGTCTCCTGTTTTAGTGACGACCCTTTTTTTCTCGAAAATAATGTGAAGAAGTAAAACTTCTTACATGATTACTGAAAAGAAGTCTTACTGATAATTCTTCCACCAAATACGACAGAAACAGACTTGAGCGCGCATTATAAACCTGAGTCTGGAGCCAAATGGCTTTAATTAAATGTTTATCTTCTCGCAATGTTGTTAAAAAATGAGATTTTTTTAATATAATCCACGCGTGCACTCTGCTTGTCTATACACAGTCTGGAGGGTGTTTCATAAAAGTTCTTAAGTGTTCGACTTACTAACTCTAAACTTAGAAATGAAGAATCTTTAAATACTAAAAAATACGATTTTATCAAATATTTTAGATGAAACTTTTAAAAAAATTAGATTACATTTTGTTTAAGTGACTTAAGTAAA